ATAAGGCATTTACTTTTGCTTGTACCATAGTCATCATTTCACAGTACTCTATAATTGTTTTTTTTGGGCCAAATATCAGTTGAATGTTTAACTTATTTGATGGATACCTTAAAGTTCAACTCAAACTCAAAAATAGCACTATCATTTGTCTCAACAGAAAGAGTCTTGTAAAAGTAAAATGTTTTGAACAATGAAGACCACATCATGCTATCTTCGTCTGACTTGAAACATATATACAGACAGTAAGAGAGAGATCTTAGAGTCGTTATTTGACGCTTTGGGCTGAGAGATGATTGGCTGAGAGTGAGCGAGGTCCTCTCGTTTTCACTGTTCTGTCTGCCAAAACTGATACAAATTTGGCCGAGAGAAATGCACGTATGTGAAGACTGTTTTATTATTTGTGGTTTGAAGGTAAGGTACCCCAGCTTTAACTTACTCTAAAACATATCATGTAAAAAATTCCATATACTTTTGCCGATGATATTTATTTAACTTGAAGACGAATCATTTTGTTGCACTTCATTAAAAAAAAACTTGCTTCCTGAAAGTGGAAATGGCACTTGGCCTTTCCTCAATTCATTGGTATGTTCCTGTTCTCGTTCATCGGAACTCCCGCCCCCACCCCACCTGCTTAGAAACAGTGAATATGCACACACATGCACGCGCACACACACACACGCAGGCACAGACACACACCAAACAAACCTACACCTACACACACGGATAAGGACAAGGACAGCCACTCTCCGTCTGCTCTCCCACAAAATCACTGTACCGTCATTACCTGCCTTCCACTCAGGGGCCATTTGCTGTTACCACAAGCCGATTATCTCACCTCTGCAGCGGCCGGCCTGTGTTTTTTGCGACTTTGCAATTTTCTCTCAAAAAGCCCACAGTGTTTTGAGAAAATGTTACCTGGCACAAACTAGAAAACTGTTCCATGGGGCGGGGTTGAGTATCCGTGCTTGGTTTTTCTCTGTGTTTTGTTGGAGGGTGGGTGGGGAGGCAGGGTTCACAGTGGTGGGAGGTGGGAGTCGTGGTCTCGCTCCCACTCAGGCTGGTGCAGTATGTGACAGCTGACGGAGACTGTGCAGGCCCACTCTCTTTGCAGCATCACCAAAAGGTCAGCACTTCAATCAGCTTCTCCTGCGTGGATAGGATGGCTCTCACGACGGGCCCGCTATGCACCGTACACGCTCGGACTTCCCCACCTCCTTCATGCACACTTAGCCGTGCTTGACCAAACCTCACAAGTGCAAATGCAGTGGGAAAGAAAGCGGCCGAATAAAAACAGCCTTCGTCCAGTGAGTTTGTGAGTGACTCTATCTGTGCCAAATGTGACATGTACATTTCTCCAGTGTGAGATCAATAAAGTCTATCTTATCTTATCTTGTGTTTCCCTTTAAAAATAAGCTCAGTGTCTTTCCTGGAATAAAGAGTTACAATTGACTTTAAAATTATTATCATTTATATTTCATCTCACCAGTATATGTTTTTGCTAAGCTTCTTTGGTTTATCTATAAAACAAGGAAAGTCTCTCTCTGCTCAAGATAATGGGACAGGCCACAATGCCTGAGTTTTGGGTTTTTTCTTTTATCTGTCTGTCTGTATATGCCCAAGATGTCTCATTTGAACAATAACATGTTGTTACAGAGATGAATATGAGAGCGCTCAGATCAGTACAATCAGACAGAATGTGACTTTTGAGTTCCATGGAGCTCTCCCTGTAATGATGAATACACACTTCCTTTATAGGCAGTGCACTAGATAGAACAAGTAAGTCATCTTGTTTTATATGGTGGATTTTTACAGACCAAGGTCACCCAAAGCGCTCTATATAGTTTCATTCTCTCCGCACACTGTGATGACGGAAGCGAGACACTGAACACACTGGCGCAGCAAAGCCCCAACCAACACCATTCATTCACTCATACCTGCTGTGCTTGTATTTAGTGGTGCAAACTGGAGCAGCCGGAGGAAACCAGAGCAGACATGGGGAGAACATGCAAACTCAGAAAGGCCCTGTTCCGAACGGGATTCAAACCCCAGGAACTTTTTGCTAAGAAGCCTGAGTGCTAGCCACTCAGTCACTGTGCCGCCCAAACAAATTACACATTAAATAAAGATATATACTCTATTGAAAATAGGCAAAATGGCCAGACGTTTATTTAGAGATTTTCACTTTTGAGCAACGCAGAGTAAAAGGAAATATTCATCCATGCACAGATGTTCAGGGGGTTAAGTGTTTTGCCCAAAGACACAGCGGCAGCATTCATGAACAAGAGCTATCACACCAGTCCCTACGTGGAGACACAAAAACTAAACAACGTCTAACCGATGGAATATTTTAACTTTTATCACACAATAGAAAAACGTTGTTGAAAATGGTCAAAATATCTAAAAGAGTAAAATGATCAAGGGTCATCAAAGCCAGGAACAACAGAAATGAAGACAGATAAATGATACAAAATACTAAAGAAGAACTATAAATATGAATTGTTGAGTATATTTACTTGCATTGTGTTTCAATCCACTCACTGATAAGAATTGAGTGATCAGATCCATTGCGAGGGAGACGGAACAAAATTCCATCTTTGGAATGGGAAAAGTCCTCAAAATTGTACTACATCAAGATTAAAAAGCAAAAAACTACAAACACAACATTCATTTTATTTATCCAGGTCACTACACTGATCATTTGGAGCAGACCTTCCCAGTCTTTGCTTTTGGTTAGACGTAGAAATATCTCACAGCCTGATTTTTCCTCAAAATAGTGGTGAACGAGCAGATCTCTCAGTCTGTCAAAAGCTTGAATCATCATTAATGTGGGGTGATGATGTCAACAAGGCGTGCGTTTGTGAATTACATCCTCTGATTTATGTTGCTAATAAAGAGCTGCGTACAAAAAGGACATTGAGAGGTTTCTGTTGGAGTAGATTTTTCAAGAGACTCTCCACCGGTTTCAAGTAACAGTCCCACTCCAGGCCCACTCTCCGGCAGAAATTAATTTGACCATATCATCATGTTTAAACTTGTTTTCCAGGTTATTTGAAGATGCATTGATACTTGTACTCAGTTAATACCCAACTGTGATTTGCGAACCAATCAGACCATAACATACAGTCTTCATCCAAAACACTGACTATTTGCGCACTTTCAAAAAGGTCTGCGAAAGGAGCTGGTACTGTACGCCGCGAAAATACTCTTCCTGAAAATATGAGACAGGCTTCTACTCTGACAAATCCAGGTTAAAAACAGAACACTTTTAATGTACTGTGATTATTTAGGATTATAATGCCTTGTTATTTTAATATTATTGATTTGTTAAGCACTTTGAGTTGCCTTGTGTATGAACTTAGCAAAACAAATCATTTAAAAAAGGAGTGAGGCAATTATTACGTATAAAGTGGTCATACTTGCAAGCAAAACCTGATTTTGTCAGATGTCTGTAGCTGTGCAGGGCAGGGCCTGGTTAGTACTGTGATGGGAGACCTAAGGCAACACCAGCTGCCACAGTGAGGCGGCAGTAACTGTAAATTGCCTAATTCATGCTTTGTCCTTGAATATAATGAGTCTGTTGTGAGGGTGAATGATTGGTGGTGGTCAGTGTGCCCCGGGGCAGCTGTGGCTACAATAATTTATAACCACCGTGTATGAACTGAAAGCATAAATGACATGTGAAGCATCTTAGAGTGTCCTAAAAAGCACTATATCAAAGTAAGTAAAACAAAAATAAATGCTGGTGAAAACTAGTGATTCTGTTTTCGTGGTTTGAAAATTGTGTTCTCCAGCTTTATTTTGTTGGAAAATATCGGAAGCTGCTGCCAATGAGTCAGCTCACTCAAACTCAACAATATATGTAAGAGTGAAGAATACAAAGAGGTTTATTATATCATCGCAGGCGTGAGATTGAAGGTATTTAAATACAGCTTTGGTGATCAGGTTCAAACTTGACACTTTTGAAGAGGAGATGCAGCTGTATAATAAATCTAAAGTCAGTCATGTCTACGCGCCCTGAGGGAGACTGACTCATGTGCAGCGTGCATGAGTGTTTGCATACAGCTGGAAGACAGTATGACGAACGCCGGTCAGACAGGCAGCGAGTAGATGTGTCAAGGTTTAGGAAAATTGTTGGTAATTAATGGACTTTGACCACAGTCTGTCAACACACAACCTGTTAATTGACTTTCAAAGAAATAGCTAAGCAAGTTACCAATTATAGACTATGGTTCTGTGCTTTAATCAAGTTAATTACATAGCCTCTCTTTTCAATTGATGTCATAATTCTGTCATCTACAAATTCTAAATGTGTGCTTTTCCAGTTTCATGAAACTTTGCAAAGAACTTAAACGTTGACATTGAAAAAAAAGGGGTTTATTCTTAGCATCAACATTCCAGCGTTTATTATCGTGAAAAGGCTGCGTATGAATAATCAGAGCAATATTTCCGTTTGCCTTCTTGGTGCTGAGGCATTTACTCACATAAGCAGTGGCAAATTATTGACATTTCAAAACAGGCCTCATGTTGCAATAAACTTGACTCAGCTGATAAAACATGCACAGTAGTATTACAGGTAACGTGGAAGTACTCAGGTACATATGCAGCTGGTGATCTGGGATCTCATGTTCTACACTGATCTGCTTTTTTGTGAACCCAAGATGAAACCATCTCAATTTCTTGCAATTTACTGCCTCCAAGTGGCAGGTAGTCCAACTGCATATAAAGAAGAAAAAAAAAAGAAAAAGGGGCAATGACTAGCATTTGTGATATTTATATGGTTTATAAAAAAAAAAAGACAGCAGTAGTTCCAAATAAATTTATTTCAATGACTGTACAATACAATGAGGACAAACTGAAGCTGGAAATGTAGGAATTATTGATTTCCGCCTATGAAACAGGAAACCTAAAAAAGAGAAAGGGGTTAATATAGCCCAAGTAATTTTCCTGCTCTACAGCAGAGAGCACTTTAAAAACAATATTATAATTGGCCTTACCACAGTTTACTCCAGAGCTTTGACAATGGCTTCATTGGCTTCTACAGTGATCTGAGCTTCTGCTTTTGCAGCTTCATCAGATATACTCATCAGATCCGCCTGGGCCTTTTCTAGGTTGCTTTTGGCCACCTAGGAAGAAAACGGGGTTTTGTGAATTTAAAAGAATGTGCGAAAGTTGGATTTTTATAGCATATAAATGTAAGCAAGTTTGAGTTGAGCTCAAAAGCAGGCTCTAAAGCGGGGTGAAGGACAAGCGTCAGAAACCTCCATTTGTCACAGGAGTGATTAGAAACAAGAAATGCCAAACATAGCTGGACGTTAAAGGTCTCCCAGTGGGGATTGACACATCTGCTATAACTCAACAGTGACTGACCTTTTATTTCTTATTAACAGCGTGGGACTGAGCACATTTTCACTGTGGACTCAAATACGACAAGGGGAAAATAACTCATTTTACTGGTAGTCAACTTGACAGTGACACGGTCACTAGTCAAGGTCACGACAGAGCCCTTCACAGCTTCTGCATACAACACAGGGCTGAATTAATAAGGATGACATTTAAATATGCACTCAGAAGTTAAAGTGCAGTATTGATGGGAGCATCATGCACTGGGAAAGCTCAAAATAAAAGAACAAAAATGAAATCCCCCTTTGGTAAACATGCACCATTATTAGCATGAAAATGAAAGCATGTGACATTTACAGGTGGCATTCAGTGTGATCCATAAAATTCAATATATATAGACAATTAGTATGTCAACGTTGCGACCCGGCAACGGATGAAGCGGAAGAAAATGGATGGATGGATGAATAGTATGTCAACTTTTGCATTTTTCTGTAAAAGGTTTGTGCAACACTGCACTAAAATCATAATCTGCCAGTTGTTACTTTTGAACTGTATGGTAATGTAGACCAGCACGGTTTGTGTGTCTAACTAAAAGTCGTATTCATTACATTACGGCAATAGAAGTTACGACCCTTCACAATGACCTTTTCAAACCTGTATTAGTGTGAAGATATGTGAAATTGTGTTTGGCAGGTTTTAAATCAATTATGTAACTAACATTTAACTAAAGCTATGTTTCTTAAAGTCCCAGAGTACTGCGCCCCTCTTTCACTATGAGAGCCCCCAATTCGAAACCACACATGTAGTAAGTGTAAAAAAGTGTCAGGTTGTAAAAAGTAGTAACTAGAAATACAAGGCATTAGTGTACGATTGCTGATTGTGTAGGTCCCCACTTTGTGAAACACTGCTAAATAGTGATTAGGAATGTATTGGAGGAAAACATCTGCATTCACTGTATGAATGTACTCACTGCAACATCCAACTGGTCCAGTGGAACTGCCTCTTCAGCCAAAAGTTGTACTGAGGAGTCTGCATTGACCGTCACTGAACCACTGCTCACTGCAGACAAGATAAAGGTGTTACTTTGGGTCCAGGAACACCAGTTTAAATATTCATCCCTACTTAAGACTTATGTAGAGTTAGAATGACTGGACTACAAGAAGCTCAGTTGGTAGAGCATTGGCCTTAAGGCCAGAAGGTTGTGGGTTCAATTCCCACCCCTGCACCTTCTCCACCGACTCCCACTGATGACTGCTGTCGTTGTGTCCTTGGGCAAGACACTTAACCCCACTTTGCCCAAAACCCCCACTGAAAGATCAAGGCTATGCTCACACTCAGAGAGCAGCCGTCCTCCTGTGGACTCACCACCTGCAGAGGGTCAGTGAGGGGCTGGTGCTATGAGACTTGGGTGGCATCTCTGACTGCCACCCCCCTGACCCAGAAATGGATTAAAGGGTAGAAGATGGATGGATGGATGGATTATTCAAATAATAACTTTGACTAAAACTGTAGCCATTGAGCCCAAAGAATTGATTCAATTCAACTTAAGATGTTTTATTTTTTTTTATCCGTGTTTTTAAACAGGGTAGTTTTTCTGTGTAGAAACATTGTAGAAACAGCAAATCAATCCTATTTTTTTAAAACCACAATCAACATGAAATCCATGCCCTGTTTAAAGTTGACCCCTTTACTAAAATACACACAAAGTTAATATCAGCTGCACCTATCACAAGAAATATTGACCTAGTGTTAAATTAGAGGAACTTTACCAAAGTATTTCGTGGATGAGCCGTCCTCATTGAAAACTGTGACAACACCAGGCCTGAGCACCTGGAGTGTTGGGACGTGAGCGGGGAGGATACCAAACGCACCGGTCAGGGTGGGCACATCAATCTGTTTCACACTGGCAGCGTTGAAAAACACCTGAAAACATATGTCAATAATAAACAGATTTAAAAGTGTCATTGATGAACAGCAATATTGAACACTGATTACATCATTCTCGTTTGGACTGCAGGCTTTGGACGCCACTTTGTTTACCAACGAAAGTACTACTACACTGGATGTTTGACCGGTAATTTAGCGGTCGTCAACACAATGTTTCACCCTGAACATAACTACATAAAAAACACATACGTAGAAATGCAATCGCAAGAAATGTCCTAAAAATAGCAATTACAAGTGCTGACAAAACCAGACAACCCTCGTCAATGAGGTGCAGGGACAGTTAGTCTCCAAAGTTATTCAAAGACATTGAATGACAGACAGCTAATACAGCTAAAGGCTAACATCGCCTGGTTAAGCAGAATATCCCCTAAGATACTAAGTTGAATCACTTGTCCGATTTAAAAGGGGTGAAATGCATGCCACTAAACTACACATGTTCATATGTTCTTTGAATCACTTGCTGTTTTCGCGACGGGCATATGCGGTGCGTTAGCCTGTTAGCATTGTAGCCTGTTAGCATGCTAGCTTGCCTGTGTCGGGGAGGCGAACGTGAAGGACATCTGCGGAGCTCCAGACACCGCCTCCGCGTAGGCTCGGACATGCCTCAGCACCGGGACCGAGCGGCGGAACAAGCGGGCAGCCAACATTATCCTGTTGTTTTACGTTTGCAGCGTGAATGACAGAACTCCTCTGGACTGCAGCCACTGGTGTGCGCTTTGACAGGACAAGGACGACTGTACCCAACCCATAAGCCTTCACGGTATCGCACAGGCGCATGGGAAATGTAGTCGGGGAAGTATACATAGTTCCCACAGACCAATGAATGTCACATGACCTCCTCGGAGACGCCATCTTTGATGGCACGCTGCTGTGTTTGTGCATTCCATTAAACAGAAGAATGAGAATAAATGTAGATATTCAAACGCAAATTGGAAAAAAAGGGCAACTTTTGAGCAAATAATTGTATATTAATACAATGGCACCACAGTTTAACGTGCTACGGACATGTTTTACATATTTGATCAAATTATGCAGCAAAAATTAACAAGCAATGCAAACATTTCTCAAAAACTTTAGATTTAATACCAGTTGGAGCTCCATTTAATTATTTTAATTATATTAAAAATTAATTTAATTAATGCTAATGCCACACGGACACTCTGGATTGCTGTTATTGTTTATTTCCGCGTTTTTGACCGTATGTTTTGGTGAATGGTGGGCAACTGATTTTTCCAGGCGCAAAGAGCAGTTTATTTTATGACACAGATCTTTTTACAGAAGCAATGCTGTTTGTGAACATTGTTTTAGCCCACCATAGAACTATTATTATCTATTTAATACATTTACGTTGCCCTCGAGAGCCTCGGACGCGACACCGATCCTCCTCATAATAAAGTAATCTAAATAATGAAACTCTCAAGTTACCGGCTATCAGCATACACAAGTTAGTACTGAGTAAATTACGTCTGTCAACACATTATAAGATACGATACGCACCTGACACAAAGTGCTCCGAGCATATTCTTGCGTGTTTTGAGGGAGTTTCTTGCCTGTTTATCTTCGCAAGCCATAACCTCCGTGGTTGTTCTGACAAAAGCTTAGTCTTCTCACATTCATGAAGTCTAATGATGGGTATACTGTAAAATCCAAGTTTAACGGAACCTCCGGCACGATTTGAACATCCATTGACCCAGCAGGAGATGACCATTTTCAACTTTATCACGACATTAACACGTTTCAGCTTCTTTTTCTATTGTTTTGCCCACAGCATGCCAACACAAATGGCGCCGGGTCGGCAAATCCCCGTATGTAGTGACGTCATGTGGGAACTATGTATATGCAAGGCAAGGCAAGGCAAGTTTAATTGTATAGCACAATTCATACACAAGGCTAAATAATGACAGCATAATTTTGAATGTATAATTTTTGAATCTTTTGAATGCGCTGGAAAACGGCTGCAAGTCCTAAGTAGCTCTGAAACAGTTGTTGTTTTGTGCTTTTGAATTTGTATTGCTTTTTTTCTACCTAAGATGTTGGTGCAGTACTGTGTTCATGGTTTTACACTGGTCCAGCCTGGAGCGCGGAGGATTCATGGTCCGAACAAAGCGGATCAGGTGATAACCCACTGGAGGAATGCTAACTTATTGAAAAAAGCTAATGAAGCATTTAGCATTTTACTTTGGACTAGAGCAGAGAAAATGGTTCAAACCAAGCGGCTACTCCACCTTTTGACCTGTCCTGCTCCACCCAGAGGCTACTCCACCTCTGCTGCTGTTACCTGTCCTGCTCCACCCAGAGGCTACTCCACCTCTTCTGCTGTGACCTGAAGGGCTGTTGCTGATTATTACTATTTTTAACTTTTTAGAACGATACATTTTATTTTTTATTTTTGCTGCTACATGGACACCTGAATTTCTACTATACGGGGATCAATAAAGTATCTATCTATAATGAAAAAGAAAGATGAAAATATAAAATCCCTCAGTTGTATGCACAGATAAACAGAACTGTTTCAAACCTGGATTCAAACATTGTCAGAGAAGAGGCCTGTCTCACATTTTACAATACAATACAATACAATTTATTCTTGTATAGCCCTAAATCACAACAGAAGTCATCTCAGAGGACTTAACAAAACCATTGAAATCACCAACACAGATCAGAGAATCAACAGTTAAAACACATGAAGAATATAGAACACATGTTGAAAAATGTCCATACATGTTGTAGAACGTTGAAGTGTCCTGGATCATCACCACAGTCAGGAGGATTGTTCCAAATTTTGGCTGCATGAATCTAAAATTCTGCCTCCCCATGTTTAGTCCTGACTCTGGGAACTCTGGGTCAGTCCCTGTGCTCCTCAGAGTCCGGGGCAGTGCACATGGGACTAACATGTCATGTACTATGTGTACTTCGGTGCCAGGCCATGAGACTTGTATACAAGCAGAGCTGTTTTAAAGTCTATTCTCTGAGCCATAGGGTGCGTTGTTACAGCCTTACAGCCACAAGTTGGCTTTATCCAAAGTCTACAAAATACCTCAAATTAAAATGAACACCTTGAAAATGATATGTTGTATTAGGTTTTACACAAATTAAGAACAATTATGAAGGGTGAATTCGAATGCAGCCATTATTTTCCCTCTTTTGAGCTTTTCGATATAATGCTAAGCAGATTTTGGTCCATAATTGACTATTGTGGACACTATCAGCACAGTGGTTAGCGCTTGTGCCTCACAGCAAGAAGGTTCTTGGTTTGATTCCACCTCCAGACCTTACTGTGTGGAGTTTGTTCTCCCCTTGTCTGCGTAGGTTTCCTCCGGGTGCTCTGGTAACCCAAACCACTAAAAATTAGTATATACGGCGAGCCCCACTCCCATCTCTTTGTGGAGTGAGTGAAAGGCCCACGTTATTTGTAAAGCACTTTGTGATTACTTACTTACTACTATTGAAATATTTCAAAATGTGATTTACTGCCTTCTAGAGTATAGTATTCACAAATGTGTCAGAGGTGATTGGGATAATGTGTGCAGCTTCATCCAACCTCTTTTCGAGCCATGTACATCTGTTGGTTCTGTTACGTTTATATTTGTGCAGGTTTTGTTACTTACACATTACATACAAAAAAAAGAATATTTCAATGATAATAATAACAGTAGCAAACAATTGTTCTATTGCTTCTTCTTCTTATTATTGATATTATTATTATTATTATTATTATTATCATTATATCATTATTTTTTTTTTATTATTATTATTATCATATGATTATTATTGTATTCAATTCACATAAGGACAAGTGATTAAAAATTATTTAATAAACATGTTTTCTTCTCTGCAAATTGGAAATGCAACCTGTAGATGGCGCAAAAACATCAGGAAACTTCTCTGCCAATAGACGGTTGTATTTTCTGAGGAACAAATGTAAAAGAAATACAGTATTCAAATGATAATATATACACATCCAAACCCACACTCAAGCAACTATACCTATATATGCGTGCGGTACTAAAACAGTGGCCTGAGGAGAACCCCAAATGTATTTGTTAAAGATACGTATCATAGTGACATAATTATTCGACATTAACAATCGTTATTTTATGGCATCAGTGCTGTCCTTGTTCTAACTCGAGTGTATACTTTAGAGACCCATGCCTATGGCCTTTACCTCATTCTTGCGTCACGTGACGCGTCTCTGGCTGGGGCGGTAGGCGTGTCTTTAACAGTGGGGATTCATTCATAAATACTTTAAGGCTGAAAATCCACATTAAAGTGTTCTCAGAGAGCGTGCTGGTGTTTACGATTCATGGACCGGGATAGCAACTGAGAAGGTGAGCGGGTTTATTGTGTTGTTGTGGTCATCTCCAATTGTGCATGGGCTCTATACCGTTTCTCTGTCGGAGTAAGCGGGTCCTTGGAAAAATAAAAAATCGGCTGGGAATAAAAAGCAATTGATATCGTTAACCAGATTTAAACAGCCTGCTTGTGTTTTAACGTTATTTATGCGCTGCATGTTACCCGATTTGCTTCAAGACACGCATGGTTATTTTTCTCCAAGATAATGCAATAATAGGCGTAAGCGCGGGTTTCTTATTAAAGCCATTCGCACAAGAAAAGGAAGGTGTAGGAAAGGGTATATAGAGCTTGGTTATGGGCATTGCGTTTATACAGCAGGCACAATTGAAGCAGTAACATAATATAGACATAGTAAAATAGATATTACATTTAAGCGATGGGCAAAATATAGATGGACCTCCATCTCAATCTGCCCATCAATACCAATCGGCTTGTATAATGCAAAACGAAAGACAAAATTGAAGTGCAATTCTCAGAAACTGCCATCGCCTCATGGCACATGAGACAATATCCAGTTGCACCTCACGATCTATATTCTGATAGGACATAATGTGTTTTAAATGACTGAATGATCTGACGCTGCTTGTTTCAGATGTGCCAGAACTGTCCCGTTGCCCCCAGGCCAGTGGGCCAGCCCCAAGTGTGAGCGACAGTAGCTGCTCCAGCTCAGTTGGCAGCTGAGAGGACTGAGGATGCAGCAAGGGAGCTGAAGAGGATTTTCCCTCACTCACTCTCTCTCTCTCTCTGACAGCTTAACAGACATCCATAGCTGCATGTAAACTGCCCATCGTTACGGTAAGATCAAAGGAAGATGCGGAGGGAAAAGCAATTGATATGTTCTTTATGCATTCAGGGATGGCAGGTGCTGGCTGAAAATGGTAGTATCGCTCAGCCAAGGCTAACATGTTGCTGAGGTAGAGTGCCAAATAGTATACGCAGAGCAGAGAGGAGGAGCGTGTTGGTCTCCTGCTGCTTGCTTGGACCCATCTCGGTGTGTGTACATGTGTGGGCGTTTGGTGCAGAAGTAAGGGTATTAATGGCTATGATCTGCACGAGCAAAACGCATAGCAGCACTAGTGAGACTGTGAGTTGTTAGAGGCTGCCTGTCTCTCCCTCTCCTCCCTCCAAGCGTTACTGCATTTGTGGGAGGATGCTGCCTGATGAAAGATAGACTCTTTGGGCTGATGTGGGATTAGGGATGGGGATCTACAGGCAGATGACAGAATTGATTAGAACTAAACTGATCTGTATTTTACTATGCATTTAGTTTGGACTTCTGGCATGATTGGGAAACTATATCTGTCATATTCAGAATGCTCAAATGTTATTGTGCCGCAAAGCATGGATAAATGGCTTTGTATATTTAAAGCCAATTCCAACCTTACAGTCGCAGACCAGGTCAGGAACTTGGTGTGACAGACAAGGATGATAACAATAGAGATTGAACAGTGCCGAACAACAGGAAGGTTGTAAAAATATGCAGAGAGTTGGGATGGTAGTGGTAGACCTATAATTGTCTTTGTAAATTACACTTTTCTGCCTTTCAAGTTATTCAAAGAGCTACATGTTAAGGAACTCTTCAGCCATGCATTCATATACCAGTGTACACAGACACTGGGGGGAGGTGCGTTATGTGTCTCTTTGCCAAACAAGCACTAATGAAATAATTTGTGGATATTCATTAGATCTAAGTCTCAAAAGCAGTCATCTCAGAGGATTTCATAAAGTTGTTGATTCAACTTTGAAGATCGGAAATGGAATAATGAAAAACCTAGGAGCCATTGGTCCATGGGTGCCGAGATGACCAATGTCTTTGTTCATAAACATGAAACACCCCACAATTCTAACTTTTTTATTGCAGCTATCTTCTGTAGTAAGAACTTGTATTTCAAATGTGTGAAAAATGTAACCTTAAGTATTAAACAATAGATACAATAGAAATGAAATAAAAACAAGATAATAAATAGACAGAAATAAACCGTTGGACGGGGAAAATGCTTTTGGCTCCAACCCTTCTCTCTCTTACTTTTAATGTATTCGATTGCTATTTGTGTACGACGAGTGCGTGTCATTGCATTGGTGGACCAACACCAAGTTAAAAGTGGACAAAAAGATACATTCAATTTAAGGACATGCAGCAACATTCACATGGTGCTGGTTTTACACCTGGCAACCTGCAAACAGTCAATCTGACCGCTCAACCAATCATGTTTCCAACCTTCAGCTCAGAAGATACAAGCGCTGCCAATTTTAGGGAATGTGAAATAAAAACTGTACTTCCAGCTTAGGGGATGTGTAATAAAAACAACACTTTAGGCTTAGGGGATGTGAAAGTGTTAAATGGAAAAGTATAATTTGACTTGATGTCGTGTTGCTAAAATGCTACTTTTCAATAGTCCTGGAGCCCTCCTTGGTCTGATTGTTCTTTGGTCTCTCAATGGTTAATGCAAATGTATTGTGGTGTCTATGTAAAGCATGTGTAACCATGTCCCAAGACAAATGTTGTCCAGTGGGAGACAATAAAGGAGTTTCTTATCTTAACTGAGCTACTACTACCACTTTGTCTCCGAAGTGAAATATGTCGTCTGCAATTAACATATCATTCATTGGAGCTCAAGGCTGTCAGAATCAGATCTCTATAGTGTGCTTGGATAAAACTAAAAGGGAAATAAAGCATATATATTATAACATACTGTATAGTTTTTCATCATCCCTAATGATTGAAGTTTCTGAATGCTATTTTTCAGGGCGACTCACTAGTGGCCTGGACCATGAGCAATGAGTCTATTGTCTGGAACATTCTACCAGATAACTCCACTGTAAGTGTTCTTGTTTTATAATGCATCTTTTAGTCCCTACCTGTAACTATGTGTGAGTTTATATTACTAAAAGACCCACATTTCTCCCCATATGCTGCACAGACCGAATTTCTAATAGGGAACATCCTGACCTGGACTTCCAATAATTAAATCTGGCTTCTAATCTCATCTTTCGATTCCCCTGTGGAGTGAAATTACAACTTGACGTCAGGGCGCAGGGTCCAGTAATATGTGTAAAAACACATATTTACCTCTCACTGTTTTTTATTATAAATATTGCAGAGCCAACAGCTAAGTAACACATATAGAAGGCAAATATGTTAATTCTGGTGCAAGGTTTCAATAGATGTTTAAATTTGCTATTTTAACTTGAATCTACATTTGTGTCACCTCTCACAGTAATACGTTTGTTTTTATCTTAGTTTGTACAAAGTTGCAATATTTTGTGAAGTGCTTCATACTCTTTGCACCAGTATAAATCCTTGGCATTTGAAGAGGATAAACCCAATTTTTGGAATACAGTATGTAAGAGCAGCTTTAGTGACAGACTGATCCACCCTCGCTGTGTGAAGTAGAGGTTTTGCAGGTCTGAGCCTGTACGCGTCACTTCTATGTTACTGCTCTTATGAAGTATTTACAGCTAGTTAAGTAGCATTCACAGCTGCATACCTGTACCGCACGTGCACTGCAACACCAACATTTCCCTGCTGAGGGACCAGTAATACAATACAATACAATACAATACAATACAATTCTCTGCATTTACAAAACTTCATAGTAATACAAGAATACGGAGCATAGGGCTCACCCAAAATATTACGAGAATAAACTAAAAATATTATGAGATTAATCTTTAAATTGAAGATAAGTATAATAACAAACAAAATTAGAATACATTTAATTAAAAAAATCTTCTCAGTTGGTGCATAATTTCAGAAAATGGAGCTCCATGGTACTAAGCGGCTAAATGAACAGTTTTATGCTTTCATGTACTCTTGATCTGAGCCCCTTGCTCCGTTGTATTAATTCATGCATGGAACAAAATGCTTTTTTTCTGAAGGTGTGCATTTTCCTCTGGTTCTCTTTGCAGGTCACAGTTGAGGCGGAGGAGCGAAGAAACGCTTACGTGGTGCTCCTGGTGATACTGTCCATTTTTCTGGTGGGAAGTCTCACCGTTACTTCTGTCGTCCTCATCTTCTGCCGGCGTTGTTATCATGGAGGCAAATGCTGCAACCGGTGAGCCACAACTTAATCTTGACTTTGAATTTCCCCACAGGGACAATAGGCGGGTCATTTGCTTGCAGCGGCTATGCTAGTTCCATTTACAAGAGTCAAGTGGGAACTATGGATCGATCATAACATCTGGATTGGTTATTGGTTGCTGTAGCCTTTTGCTAGCATGGGACAGGTGACATTTCATTGGTCCTGCAACAAGTACCAATACATGAGTACCTTTCTCAAAGCTTTTTTCTCGTAAAACAGAAATCCTTGGGCCAAATGCCACTCATATCTGCAGAATTATTTAAAAAGTTATTATTGATTGACTGCGGAACCTTCCGCAGTCAACCATTGGTTTTCACGTTCTTTATTATTATTCCGTCTTTTTCCTGATTTTTGACACGTTTCACAGCTTTCACATTTTCAACAATTTCCACAAGTTATACATCAAAACGTTCCACATGTTTGGGAGATTATTGCTATTACTTTTGGGACTTCAGCGATTTCCGGTTTTTCCGAAATCGGACAAAAATCGGTCGATTTTTCCCATTGACTTATAATGGGGCTTCCACAAATTCATAGTTTTCAGAATTTTCTTCAACATTTTCAGCCTTTTCTGCAGTTTGTGCATGTTCAGCTTCCACAACTTGTGAGTTTTCAGAAAAAACTAGAAACTTGCAATGGCTGAAGCCATTGCGATTGACTGCGGAACAGATCTAATGTGGAAATCTGCTAAAAAAAATCCTTGGAATCCTTTAAAAGGCCTTGAAACTGTTAAAATACTTGATAGATATTTGAAACTCCTGCATTCCTTGAAATTGTTGAAACCTTTAAACTCCTGAAATCCTTGAAACTGTTGAAACATTGAAACTCCTGAAATCCTTGAAACTTTTTTAAACCTGGAAACTGTTGAAAGTGTGGAAACTCCTGAAATCCTTGAACTTCCTGATATCCTTGAAACTGGTTAAATTCTTAAACAGTTGAAATCCTTGAAACTACTGAATGTATTGAAAGTGTCCTTGAAACTGAAAAATCCCCTCACCGCTGAAACAATTTGGTTCCTGTAACTAAGGAAACCTGGTCTGTGGTCATTATCTGGTGGTGGTCTGAGTCTTCGTTTGGGTCTTGGTCTGGTGGTATAATGCAACCTATTAGGTTGCATTATACTGGTTTACATGGAAAAATCCCTATTAGGTTGCATTATACTGGTTTACATGGAAAAATCCCTATTAAGTTGCATTATACTGGTTTACATGTACAAATCCCTATTAAGTTGCTTTATACTGGTTTACATGTAAAAACCCCTATTAGGTTACATTATAGTGGTTTACATGTAAAAATCCTTATTAAGTTGCATTATACTGGTTTACATGTAAAAAACCCTATTAAGTTGCATTATACTGGTTTACATGGAAAAATCCCTATTAAGTTGCATAATACTGGTTTACATGGAAAAATCCCCACTAAGTTGCATTATACTGGTTTACATGAAAAAAACCCTATTAAGTTGCATTATACTGGTTTACATGGAAAAATCCCTATTAATTTGCATTGTACTGGTTTACATGGAAAAATCCCTATTAAGTTGCATTATACTGGTTTACATGGAAAAAACCCTATTAAGTTCGATTATACTGGTTTACATGTAAAAAAAACCCTATTAAGTTGCATTATACTGGTTTACATGGAAAAATCCCCATTAAGTTGCATTTTACTGGTTTACATGAAAAAAACCCTATTAAGTTGCATTATACTGGTTTACATGAAAAAACCCTATTAAGTTGCATTATACTGGTTTACATGGAAAAATCCCTATTAAGTTGCATAATACTGGTTTACATGGAAAAATCCCCATTAAGTTGCATTATACTGGTTTACATGAAAAAACCCTATTAAGTTGCATTATACTGGTTTACATGGAAAAATCCCTATTAAGTTGCATTGTACTGGTTTACATGGAAAAATCCCTATTAAGTTGCATTATACTGGTTTACATGGAAAAAACCCTATTAAGTTGCATTATACTGGTTTACATGTAAAAAAACCCTATTAAGTTGCATTATACTGGTTTACATGGAAAAATCCCATTAAGTTGCATTATACTGGTTTACATGAAAAAATCCCTATTAAGTTGCATTATACTGGTTTACATGGAAAAATCCCTATTAAGTTGCATAATACTGGTTTACATGGAAAAATCCCCATTAAGTTGCATTATACTGGTTTACATGAAAAACAACCCTATTAAGTTGCATTATACTGGTTTACATGGAAAAATCCCTATTAAGTTGCATTGTACTGGTTTACATGGAAAAATCCCTATTAAGTTGCATTATACTGGTTTACACGGAAAAAAACCCTATTAAGTTGCATTATACTGGTTTACATGGAAAAATCCCCATTAAGTTGCATTATACTGGTTTACATGAAAAAAAACCCTATTAAGTTGCATTATACTGGTTTACATGAAAAAACCCTATTAAGTTGCATTATACTGGTTTACATGGAAAAATCCCTATTAAGTTGCATTATACTGGTTTACATGGAAAAATCCCTATTAGGTTGCATGATTACACTGAAGTCCTTGAAACTGCTGAAGTCCTTGAAACTGCTGAAGTCCTTGAAACTGCTGAAGTCCTTGAAACTGTTGAAGTCCTTGAAACTCTTGAAATCTTGAAACTGCTGAAATCCTTGAAACTGTTGAATCCTTGAAACTGTTGAATCATTGAAACTGTAGAAATGTCTGAAAGAGCTGAAGTCCTATTAAAATGCATGGGCCTATTAAAATGCATTGCAGAATTCTCAATGCAGATTTTTGTCCGATTGCGGAAAAACCGGAAATCGCTGAAGTCCCAAAAGTAATAGCAATAATCTCCCAAACATGTGGAACGTTTTGATGTATAACTTGTGGAAATTGTTGAAAATGTGAAAGCTGTGAAACGTGTCAAAAAAAATGACGGAATAAAGAAATACAAAACCAATGGTTGACTGCGGAAGGTTCCGCAGTCAATCAATTAACATTAGTGGCTGAAATCTTACAAATATTACAATTAACACTAAAATTCTACTACCTGGAGCAGGAGAAGGGCTGGCGCAACGACCCACAGGAGACAGAAGTGCAGAGGTAAACAAAAGAGGCGACTTGAGGCTATTTATACTGTCTGTATGCGCTCTCTACTGGCGGACACAAATATGGTGGCCAAGTCCAGCTTGCCACATATATATCCATCATATACAGAAGTGGCTGATCTCAAGAAGTCCTACCAATGGCTAGAAAGGGCTGGCCTACAGGACAGCACAGAGGCACTCATTATGGCTGCACAGGAGCAGGCCCTGAGCACCAGAGCGATAGAGGTCCAGATATACCACACCAGACAAGACCCAAGGTGTCGGTTGTGCAAAGAGGCACCTGAGACAATCCAACACATAACTGCAGGGTGCAAGATGCTGGCAGGGAAGGCCTACATGGAACGCCATAACCAAGTGGCTGGCATAGTGTACAAATCTGTGCAGAGTATGGGCTGGAAACTCCAAGGTCTACCTCGGACATCTCGGTCCAGAAATGTGCAGTGCTAGGAATAGCAAAGATACTGCGCAGAACCCTCAAGCTGAGGGCCAAAGGTGAGTGTAGATTTTTTTTTATATATGGAGGCTGGAAACTGAACAGTTCTGGAAGAACATATTGGAGAAGGAAGCAGCACATAACAGAAGTGCACAATGGCTGGTGTCCCTGAGAGAGGAGCACAGCCACCTCCCAGAACAGAACTCAATTACCATCACAGAGGCAGACATCCGAGAAAGAGTCTCAGGTATGAAAAACTGGACAGCACCTGGCCCTGATATGGTCCATGCCTACTGGCTAAGGACACTCACATCACTCCATGAGCGCCTAGCAGCACAAATGAACCAGCTGCTGAGAGATGGGACTCACCCAGAATGGCTAACCGAAGGGCGAACGGTCCTGATCATGAAGGACCCTGTCAAGGGTGCAGTCCCCTCCAACTACCGGCCAATAACCTGTCTCTCCACAACATGGGAGCACATGTCAGGCATCATTGCGGCTAAGATAAGTGGGCATATGGAACAATTCATGAGCACAGCACAGAAGGGCATTGGTAGGGACACCAGAGGAGCCAAACACCAGCTCCTGGTTGACAGAAGAGTCGCCCAAGACTGCCGGTCACGACACACTAACCTGTGCACAGCCTGGATTGATTACCAGAAAGCCTACGACTCAATGCCACACACATGGATCATGGAATGCTTGAAGTTGTACAATATCAACAGGGCTCTAAGGGACTTCGTTGCAAACTTGATGGGAATGTGGAAGACCACCCTTGAGGCAAATGGCAAGCCGCTCGCACAAGTGACCATCAAATGTGGTATCTACCAAGGAGATGTTCTGTCCCCACTACTGTTCTGCATAGGCCTGAACCCTCGAAGCCATATATATAATGTATATATATATATAATGTGTATATATATATATATATATATATATATATATATATATACATTATATATATATATATATATATATAATATATATATATATATTCAATAAGAGTGGCAATCAAAGAAACAGTGGCAATAGTAATGCAGGTTTTTTAGTCCTAGTGCAAGTAACTTAAAGTGACTTATTGTACAGTCTGACAGCAAGGCAAATTTATTTGTATAGCACAATTCATACACAAGGCAACTCAAAGTGCTGAACAAAATAAGATAGCATTAAAGCTGCACTAACTGACTTTGGGATTTTGAAGCCGCGGACCCGCTGGCCTCTCTCTTTCTGCTCCCCTCCCCGCACCCACGAAGCTATTGCCCCCCACACACACCCACTGTTGGGAAGGAGCTAGCGTCTCCCAGTATGGATAATACATGGACATGGATTTGCACGTGGATGGCGTGACCATAGAACCGGGAAGCGCGGAGGAACGGGACTTTCTTTTGGATGGCTGTTTCGCTGTGTAAGCAGTAACCGGTGACGAAGACACACGAAGCTTCAGGTTAGCTCCTCG